CAAAGCTCCGGTCTGAGAAAATCGGCTGTCTGATTGTCCTACGACAATCACGAGTTGCGATTTTTCGTAGGAGAAAATAGTACCGTCAAAACATTTCAAAGCCAACACTAAGGATAAGACTAATGAAGTTAAACTTCATCACACCTGAGATCAGCGTGTGTGCCAAATAAATCACGATACAACACTTTTCATAGAAAAAAGGTCCATGGGTTAAAGCAGGTAAATTTTCTTAGGAAGTCTGACCCACAAGGCATTGGGGTGGTATGTGAAAACCGCGATTGGGGGTCGGATCACACACCCAAGGTACACAATACACCTCAATGCTCAATCGAGCCGGTGACCACTACCAAGACCAGGAACGTATGGGTGGGTGTGGTTCGTACGCCTTCTTTTGATTGGTTTGGAATCAGGGTTTTTAACTAACTCCTCTAGGTGAACTGCCAGTGGTTCACCGACCCGGTTACAGCCCTGGATATTGGTTTTTTGTCCTCTCATTTTGGTGGGAAGACACCTCCGCCACTGTTTACGCAGTTGTGACCTAATCCGCTGAGTTGTAAATTACTATTTCAGACTCCTTGACGCGCGTCGAGCAACCCCGGCAAACCATGAGTAAAATGAACCGCGCCTCTCTCTGAAGCGTGAACTCAGAAACAGTTTGAGAGACGATCAAGAAGCCTGATGAATGCTACGTGCAAAGGAGATGGAATCAGCACCTAGGTGTGGAAACACTCGGCAACTATTTCAACTCATCCGTGCTACGGGGCCAAAAAAATAGTGAGTTATTTAAACATTCTGCGAAGTACACGGCACGATAATATAGTCTTCACCGACGCTTGGCGGACCACTTCACATTGTATTTCAACCAGCCTCCCGCACTGGCTGCCCCAAGTAGTTCTCTTGAGAATGCACCCTGGTCACTATCCACGGCATCGTCCACAGAAGCGGAGATCCGAAAGGAACTCAGTGATCAAACGCGACAACGCAGCTGGATGAGACGACCTGCCATCTACCCTCTTTAAAGATAGTGAAGCTCTAGCGAGACTGATCATCATTATCGTATAGCGAAATACAGAAGCGAACTTCACTGATCGCTGTCAAACTCGCAATGCATATGCACTGGAGTTTGATGGACGTGTACTGATGGGGTATCCAGCCACTACGCAGGAGAACGATTATGGTTCTTAACCAAAGCCTTTAGTTCTAGCAAAAACCTAGCCGCAAGGCAGCGGGTAAAACGAAGTGGAGGCCCACTTACTTGGATCAATTACTCCTCCATCATTTTTCCCCAAATGAAACGCAAATTCTAGTCCAATTCCCAACCTGGAGTGCCAGGAGACTGAACTTCGTCCGATCTCTACCCTTCGACCTTCCCGGTATGATTAGATATTCGGCTCGGCAAATGCCATCCTGTGTGGCTTGTTAGGTAAGAGAGGTGCACAAGCCATCGCACCACGTCAAGGTGCAGTCTCGTTGTGGTGGCTTGTGAGACTGTCCTCGAAGAACTGGGAAATCGAAAGTGAAACCAACACATCGAGCGAATAGATCGTTAGACCCATCTACAAGAAGGGCTGTCGCAAAGCCTGTTCAAACAACAGGGGTTTAAGTCTGATTCCAACAACGCTGCTAGCGTCCGTTTTAGTACGCAGATTAAGCTCATTTCGTGCACGCCATGGTTNGTTGCATAGATCAAATCTTCACCTTCCGTCAGCTACTAGAACACCACCACGCACACAGACGGCAATCCGTTGTTGTTTTTTGACATCAGAGCAGCCTTCGACTTTCTCGATCGCCCCGCACTGGAACTGTTTGTGGAGGTACGGAGTACCCAAGAAGTACGCTTTACTCCTAAAAGCGCTCTATCGCCAGACCTCGGAGAAAGTTAGGGCCTACGGTGGACTTTCACATTCATTTCCTGTCACCAGTAGGATGCGACAGGGTTGTCCTATCTCTCAGTTTCTGTACAACTTTGCCATAGATGACGTTCTACAAAACACGTTACGTAACGCAACGAACACTGGCGTCGAGCTTCTTCCTGGGGACAGAGTCGCAGACTTAGAGTATGCCGATGATATTGCCTTACTCAAAGTGTAAACTGTTGTTGCAAGATTAGCAGGAACCCGTTCCTGCACTTTCGTTGGTTATTGAAACCCCGGCAACAGTAGAAAGCTGTGTTTACCTCGGGAGTTACACAACGCGTGGCAGAAGTGTGGCCGAGATCCCTCAACGCGTGATCAAAGCTAGATTAGCGTTTGTTAACCTTCACCATCTTTGGCGCCGGGGCGACATATGCATTTCACTGAGAGGGCGGGTGCACTGCGCAGCGTACGTATCGTGTTGCTCTACGGTTGCAAAACTTGGCCTATGCGAGCAGACTATGTCCAACGACTATCCGTATTCACTAAACGTTGTCTCCGCAACATCGCCCGTGTATGATCGGAGTATCACGTGAATAACAATGAAGTCAGACGACAAGTGCTAGGATCAGATAGTCTTCCGTTGAGCAAAATAATTTCATAGCATCGTCTTAGGTGGCTAGGACAAGTCGCAAAAGAGCCTGAGCGACGTCTGCCATACCGTGCACTATTCGCAGACATCGGTTTAGGCTGAAAGCGAGGTGGGCAAACTATGACGCGGCGCAGAAGGTTGATAAGATTTTTCTCGGCTCCCCGGCTGGGGCCCCAAAGATTCAGATTGTCTTTGGCTGGAGACACTGCGGAATATGGCATCTAACCGAAGTCAGTGGCGTGAATGCATCCTTTCCAGTGTGTGATCCCAAAAATAAACAAAAAACGAAACCAAACTCAAAATGGCGTGCAGTAAACAAACGAAAAATTTGTTATTCCCAAGTTGACTGTTTTTGTTTCCCTCGCTTCTGCTCCTATATTTTTCGTTCAACCAAGATTATTTTGGCGCCATATCTGTAAAGATTGGTGCTATATAGATATATATATATATATATATATATTCACTTTTCTATATAAGAGGTTCAATGTTGCTTTTGTAGCATTTTTTGTACACAGTTCAGTTCAGTTCTTACAACCATTAACTATGCACTTTCGTGCACCGGATTTGGTTACTGTCTTTTGGTTGCCCATTTGGATAATATAACAGAATGATGATTAGAATGTTGGGAGCAGATTTAAGCGAAAGGTAGCACATTTTTATAGACTGAAGTTACGAGAATAATGAGTAAATGCATGAGTGCCACTGTTTGCGACGCCCAGCCATATCTCTCAGTGTCTTTAGCCACCGGTGATCATGATCTCTGGGTTCCCAGCCCGGGAGCCTAACGGGACCTATGTGAGCCAGTCTCCTGGTCAGTGTTTTCATACCCTCTTAGCTTGACCGTCGTTCGTTTTTTTCCAACCACTACCTGCCTCGCCGAGCATCGCTCGCCGTGGTAACCTATCTGGTGATATGCGTTGCACATGTTCCAACCAGCGTAATCTAT